TAGTGCTAATGTGCCCTTTCTGCTCAGGGGCTTTTGAGGACTAATATTAAGAGCAAACCCTTAGTGGGTACTTAAAGCCATTTATAGCACTTTACACACATTCACTCAGTCAGTTCTCACTATGACCCTATAAGGCAGGTACTAGTATCAGACACCATTTTGGTAGATGAGGGATCTGAGGCACAGAGAGGTTAAGTACGTTGCACAAAGTCACAGGCAGGGTCTAGAGACTGTACTTTTTTTACCCCTAAACCATCTTAACTGCAGGCCCCACTGCTCCTCCTGGAGACACCTGAGCTCTTGGGATGGGAGGATCTCCCTACTATGGTTGGGGGGAGGGGGGTGCCAACAGACCAGGGGAACTGCTCTGGGGCAGGGATTTCTGCAGGCTCAGTGGGTCCTGACAAGGAGGATGAAGCAGCCCTGATCTGTGCATCTCCCACCCGTGCCCCTCAGGGCCATCCCAATACCAGGAGGCAGTTGGGACATTCTCTTGCCTCTCCCAAGACTAGCTAAAGCCACAGGAGGAACAGCTGGTGTGGTGGGGCGTCACAGTGACTTCCGCTGGCCAGACCAGCTCATTTGCATATCCCAGCAGGGTGTGGCAGAAGTAATAAGAACAAGCACTTAAATAACAGGCACTGCTACAAGTGCTTTACCAGTAAACAACCCTAGGAAGTAGGAGGAGTTATTATGTCTGTTCTACATCAGAAGAAACTGAGGAACAGAGGACAACGGCCTTGTCCAAGGTCACATACCAGTAAACAGTAGAGGGAGGATTCAAACCCAGGCAGTTTGATGCCAGTTTCACAAGAACCTTTGGGTGCTCACAGAGTTGGGCTCAAATCCTTGCTCTAGGTTAATGCTGTTCTTAGAACTAAATGAGAAAGTGATGGCCAGTGCCCAACATGGGGCACTTGACATTGAAAAATGCTTCCCTGCTTCCTTTCGACCCTGATATTACATGGCTCCCCAAGTTGGGGCTGAGCTGGAGTCTGGACCTGTCCCCTCTCCAGACTGTGGCCAAGCTATGGCAAGGAAAAGGGAAGGTGGGTGGACAGGAGAGGGGAGGAGACTTTAACTGGCCTCTCCAGGTCTAACTGCCAGGGCTCCCTGAAACCAGGGGAGTAGGGGAGGGAGGGGGTAGTGTGGGGAAGACTCCGGGTCTAGTGGAGATACTGGTCCAGACTTTGGCCTGAGGCCCATCCACCTGGGGCAGAAAGCCTGGGGACAGAAGCTAGGCAGGCGGAGTACCTAGAAAGTCAAGCCTGGAAGGAAGAGGGCCTCAACTAAAGGACTAGGTAGGGCCAAGCCGCCCTAGTTCCCACCCCTCAGACAGAGCATAGGTCAAGATTCTGGAAGGTGCCTCACAGACCCTCAGGCTTGAACCCCATCCCACCCCACCACGTGGAGGAATAGATTCCATGCTCTTAACACCGTACAATACTGCCTCTAAAACACTCGTTTCTCCTTCACGGGGATAGCATCAGAAACCCTATGGCCTCCCCAGATCAACTACAGGAAAACCAAGGTGGTCACCAACGCTTAACCTCCCACTAGCCAATGCCCTAAGAGCCAATAGTTACCGAGCACTTGTCAGTCTTAGGCCCTTTTCATGCTTTAGCTCACTTAATCTCCATGATAACCCTGGTATTCTGTTTTCCACATGAGTAAACTAAAGCTCAGAGAGGTTAATGACTTGCCCAAGATCACAGAGCAGCTAAGTGGGATTCAAACCTAGGGAGGGTCCAGAGAATGTACTCTCAATTATGGTGCTCTGCCACCTCCTTCAACCCTGGGCCTTCATCCTGGAAAACGGCACATTGTCTCCAAGGGCCATGCCGAATGGCCCAGTGCTAGCCCCTGACCCAGCTAGCTATTTGGCAACACTCACTGGTTTCATTAATGTTTAGGGAATGTCAATATTTTTGAGTGACTTCTGCATCTAGGCCCCTATCTCTCCTGCCAGACCCAAACTAGAGCAGCTTGGACTCACTCCTAGAAAGTTAGAACAAGGGGGAAGCTTATAGCTTCCAATTCCTCTCTGATACATGGGTAAATTGAGGCCCAGAGAGTAGTCCTCTCCCAAGAGTCCTCAGCAAGACCTGGGCCTAGGACCTTGGACTTTTGTTCCTGGGCAAGTGGGACAGTTAAGACAGGTCTTTGGTGGTTGAATCCTTCTAGCATAAGGAAGGGGGCATAAGACAGGGCAAAGAGTAGAAAGTGAGACCAGGCCGTTGATGCTCTGGGGGGAGGAATTCAGGTTCACTTCACCATAGCCTTAAAGACCCCGGAGGGATGCTGCTCTCTGCCATGTTCTAACTTGGCCATGGGGGAGGCAGGGAACACACATGTTGTGTAAAACACACACAGACAAAGGTCACCAGCAGAGCAAACACCTTCTGACTTCCACCCCAGCCCTACAGGAGGGGCCAGCAGGTCATGTCAATGAGTGAACAGGTCAGGTGGGGCCTCGGACAGGCTGGAGGGTGGTGGCCTGTCTAAAGAAGGTTGTCACTGTCACTCTTTAGCTCTGGCCTGGGCTTGACATCATTTGCTTTTTCAGGGGATCAAAAAAATCAATATTTGTATGTGAAATTTTTTTTTTTAGCATCGGCAACAAATGCAAATATGAGAAAAAGTTTGTATTAACAAAATGCGTCTAGAAACTGTATTTTACAATATGTGCCATACGTTATAACAAAAGCAAATGCAGTGGGGATGAGACAGATCTGGTCCCGTCTCCTGGAGCTCAGAGTCTAGATGTGGAGACAAACTCTCACAGCACATGTAGACACGTGTCACTGTCACCAAGCCACTAACCCATCAACCAGCCCAATGCAGCTCTCCACTCCATGCCAACCCAGGTCAAATCAAAACGGGAGGTAGAGGCAGAGAGCTGCTCCTGAGCCATCCAATGGTGGGGCTTTTCAGGTAGGAAACAGGACATAGTGGAAGGAGGGAGGGAATTAGGGGACATGGAGGAGATGAGCCAGAAGTGAAGCAGAGGATGATGTGTGAACAGTGGGAGATGATACTTGGGAGGTGGTTTAGGGTCACACTGCAAAGGGCTTTGACTGCAGTTTAGTCTAGACTCAATAGGGAGCCAGTGCAGGTTAGTGAGGAAGAGAGATTTTACTTGCTGTCCCCCCAGGACTTTTGATGATATTCTTTCACAATGACTCAAATCTCTGCTCTTTAGCCTCAGACTCCACTCCCTTGCCCGTGGGTCATATGACAAGGCTCTGGGCTCCTGGGAAGCCACTGTGGGATATGAACTCCTTCAGAGATGGAGGGGATACACCTGAATGCTTCTCAAGGCCCAAGTGCAATCCACACCAGCTCCTCCAGCTGAGTAAGTGGCTCCCTCTCTGTCGCTATCTCTGGGAGATGCCACGTGCTTGCCCAAGGTCACCCAGTCTTCAGGGCAGTTGGCTCCCCCACAGCCCATATGAGGGGAGTTGCCTCAAATGTCCTTGAATTTGCAAGAAGAGCTGCCAGAGGTCTGGCTAGAAGCACCTCCAATCTTTTCTTCTGCTGGTTACATCCTCCCCCTTGGGTCAATGTCAGCAGCAGGTGGGGGTAGGGGCACTTGGTATTGGAAAGGGGGAAGAAGAGGAATTGGCCATCCAGGCTCGGGGTCCCAAGTCTGCAGCAGGATGGGGATCAAGGGATCAGGTGCTTCAGGTGTGGGGTCAGAACTGGTCAGCTGGGCCTGACCAGGCCCACCTCAGCAGGTACAACTGAGCATGGCCTGGGGAAATTGAGAACAGCCCAGGGGTCTGATGAACAGGAAAGATCAGGAAATGAGATCAGAATGAAGAGAGAAAAAGGACTTTTACTCCAGTGCCTGGTACTTCACAGACACTAGCTGAAGGTTTGCTGGATGAATAAATGAACAAAGGAACTCGTGGTGTGGCTACCTGTACCCAGAATCCTGTCTTCCTCAGCATCACTGCTTGCCTGCAGAGGGCTCAGAGGCAAGAGACTGGTGGAAACCCTAGCAGTCCACACTGTTTCCTTGGCACTGTCCACCTACTTCTCAGAATCTCTGACCCAGAATTTCAGGGTACAGCATCCCCAGGGCCTCTCATCTTCCTGTGAGCCTAGGGTTCAGGACCTCACTGAGGACCAGGCTGGGGTACTGCTTTGTATACTGCCTAGAAAGCTAGAGTGAAAACCTAGAATGGTCCCCCTTGGTTGTCTAGGACACATTGACTTAACCTAAGGTTTGGCCCTGGGTGTTTTGGAGGTCAAAAGGAAAGGCGTTGGGTTTGCTGCTCTCAGGGCACATGGGGACAGAAAAGTGCCTGACCTGAAATGGCTTCTTCATCCAGACTACCTCCCCTCTCCAGAAACCAGCGCCTCATTTTGGAAAGGCTTGCCCCCTCCTTGTCCTGCAGGGAGCACAATAATGGCCTGGGTGAAGATCCCCACTGGGGCCTGGGTGGGGGCAGTGGAATCACAGAGAAAATAAGGGATTTCCACTCATTTTCTCAAATACACCCTTTCCCTCACACAGACAAAGACATACACCCAAATCCCTGGCCATTACCCTAAGGCCACACACTGCAGGCCCCCTCACCTGTGGACACCCCCCAAATCTTCTCCTCCCAGCGGGGACTTCACTTGAGAACTCAGCCTGGCCTTGGGGGGAGGGGTACATATACTCCAAGGACTGAGGATTAAAGAGCTCCAGGCTAACAGGCTTTTTTTTGGGAGGTGGGGGGGACTCTACCCTTTTCTCCCCTATCCGTGGTGCAAGGGGCTCCGCCACCACACCCCCGTGGGGCCGAGGAGCTGCGCCCAAACCCCTGAGCTAGGGTGTGGGGTGGGGGAAGGGAGGAGGAGGGGGCGGCTCCTCCTAGCGAGACACAAAGAGACGTCCTTCAGCCTCGGCTCCATGGCGACGCTGGGGAGGGGGCAGTACGCACCCGATACTTCCTTCCCCACCTGCAGGGCTAGGGGCCTTGGCGGCCACTCACCTGGGATCGGCTTACCTGGGCTGGGGCCGCGGGGACGCCGCGGCAGGGGGCCTGGGCGCCGTCTCGATTTTCGTCAGCCCGGCCCCGGGGGCTCAGGGCTCCACAACCATGGGCTGGGATGAGAAGGGTGCCGCAAGAGGCTCCGTGGCCCCGGTCCTGGAGCTTTGGGGGGATCCCCGAGGCCTCTTGCTGGTGAGGGGAAGCTCTTGCTATCCTCGGGTCCCTAGATTTAGGGATTCTGTGTACCGGAATTGGGGGGAGTCTCGGACCCCCGATCTAGGGGCGCTCTGAGCTGGGTCTTCGTGTCTTGAGGTGTGGAGTTGTATTGACCAGGATCTTGAAGGGGTGCTCGCAATCTCGGACGGGGGGATCACTGCGTTCTAGGTCTTGGGGGGGCCCAGATTGAAGAGGGGGAATCTTCGCGGCACCATAGGAACGTCGCTATCTTCTGAATACGGAGGAATTCTTCGCCTTCCCCGGCTGGGGAGTCGTTTTGTTTTGGACTTAGAGGGGCCCCCGCCTTCTTGGGGGGTCTCTGGGTCCTGGATTTGGTGGGGGATCCCCGCGCTGCCCGGCTGCGGGGACTTGCTGAGTCCCGGCCACCGGCAAGGGGCTGGGAGGAAGCCCCTCAGCCGCTGGGGGGCTCCGTCGCCGCCGCTACGAGCAGCCCGGCCCTGCGGTTCCAGACCCCGGCCTGGTCCGGGCACTGGCTGCGGCTCCGGCTCGCGCTCCTCTCTCTCTTTCTCTCTCTTTCTCTCTCTCTCTCTTTCTCCCTCTCCCCACCGCCCCGCTCTCCTTCCCGCCGCGCTCTCCCGCCGCGCACCGCGGGGCGCAGATTCTCCTCGCGTGGATCGAGCGGCGCGCGGCGCCCCCACCCAGCCTTCCGGCCGCGCTGGGTCCTAGAGCCTATGGTTCCCTCTCTATCCTCCCACCTCCGGTCTTTTCTAGGTCATCTCTCTCTCTCTCTTTCTCCCTCTCCCCACCGCCCCGCTCTCCTTCCCGCCGCGCTCTCCCGCCGCGCACCGCGGGGCGCAGATTCTCCTCGCGTGGATCGAGCGGCGCGCGGCGCCCCCACCCAGCCTTCCGGCCGCGCTGGGTCCTAGAGCCTATGGTTCCCTCTCTATCCTCCCACCTCCGGTCTTTTCTAGGTCAGAGCCCACGAGGGGGAGAGAAAGAGGTTAGAGAGGACTCCGGGGAGTCTGAGAGGGTCACCTGGTCCATCCCTCCTGGCCCCTGCGGGACCAGACTGTCCCAGACTGTCCCAGTCTGTTCTTGTGGGGCGGAGCCTGTGTCTGTTTCAAGGAGGGAAATATTCAAGCTCTGCAATCGGATATGCATTTATTCACCCGTTGGTCTGTCCGTCTGTCCATCATCTATCGTATTTTGAGCAAGACCGCAGAGAACTAAGTCTATTCAGGAAAGAGGTCAATAACTGGGGCTTTGGGGGTCATGGCAAGCCCAGGACTTGTTCTGGACCGCTGTTGTAAATGGCAGTGACTAGTCATAGGATGCACAGTGCTCACCAGATAAAAAGAAGGAAAGGGGATTCCAGGCAGAGGGAGCAGCATGTGCAAAGGCACCACCTGGGTGTGAAGGAGTATTGTCTGTTTGGTTAATGACATTGGTGGCCTGGAAAGAAGTGAGGTGGATGAAAATGGAGATGAAATAGGACAGCACATCTTCCCAGCACATCTGTCTCTCAGCCTTATCCATGCAGACCCAGCCACACTTTCCCTAAGGAAAAAGCCCCCAACACACCCTGCATCTTCCCTATTTCTTCCAACTCTTAGTTGGGGCTGCTTTCTCCACCCACCATACTCTTCCCAATCATCCTATTTCTAGAAGTTTTAGAGCCAGGTGTACTTGCAAGCTCAAGTACTTATAGGTCACATAAATTAGTGACTGGGGCCAGGTGTAAGGTGATAGGGAGTGGTGGAGATGAAGCAAATCAGCATTGTGGGTCCTGTGTGGATAGATGATTTTCCAACAGAAGCAGGGAATCCATCTTCTAACATAAAATCCTCCACTTAAATGTTTGAAACTAATTCCCCAAATTCAGAAATACTGAACGAGCCAAATGAAACATTCTTTGGGGCTAAGCGTCGCCCCTGGGCCATCAATATGAAACCTCTGCTAGTGAAAACATTGCCTTAGATCCTAACTTGTCTCCCTCCTTCCTCTGCCTAGAATCCTTTTCTAGAATCCAAGTCCTGTGTGATCATCAGCTCTGTCAAATAAAAAGTAGATTGGGTTGCTCCTCTACATAAAATTATCAATGACTTCCTGTTACATCTAGGGTAAAAATCTAACTTTCTTATCCTGGTTTTCAAACCCCTTTGCCTTTGGAGCCTCCTACCTTCCCCCTATTGAGACCCCCCTCTTCTCCATTCAGCTGGTGTTCCTAGAGCATCTGCTTTCCCATACCTCTGTGCCTTACTTTATTTCCTCCTCTGTCTAGAACATTGTTCCCCAAACAAGTTATCCTCTAAGACACCTCCTTTATATCTCCCTTCCCTCTCTCACCCCTCCCTGTCCTACCAATGTTCTCAAGTTTCGAATTTCACCCGTTCTGGTAGAGGACTAGAAGAGTCAAGTAAGGTCTTATTGCCCAAAACAAACTAATGGAGAATAGAGGATTAGAAAAGTCAAGTAAGGCCTTATTGTCCAAAATAAACTAATGGAGGAGTATGAGTTATTGGGCCAGCAGTAGAGGGAGGAAGAAGGAAGAGAACGTCGTTCTGTGTCTAACAACCGAGTCTCAGAACACTAGAATTTAGAGAGCACTTTCCTCTCCTTACAGGTGAGGAAAATGAAGTCTGGAGAGGGGCAGAGGTAGAACCAGGCCTTGAAATGCTCCCAGCCATAGTTGACAAGGGTAACACAGTTCAAGGCCACCTTCCGCAGAGGTCTTCCCTGATTTCTTAACGGGGGATTTGATTACTACCAATGTGATTAGTGAAGTTTTGCCCAAATGCGTCTGGTAGTCAAATCTCCCCACCCTGAGCTCCGCAGGGTAGGAAGTCCTGGTCCCCAAAGGGGGCTTACTCTTATCGGAGCATAGCAAGAGTTCCATGAAAATTTAAGCTGTGGCTGCTTAAATAACACGGGACTCCATGTGTTCTGGGGCCAGCAGGCAAGAAGAGGAATCACTGTTCTAGTGGTAGTAATTGACCCTCATTTACTAGAAGTTACTAGACCCTCAGTAACTGACTCTTAGTTATTAGAAGTTACTAGAAGTACCCTGATCATTTACTAGAAGAAAGCGGGGATGCTTTTACAAAGTGGGAGCAGGGAGAAATACTAGAATGTGGAACCCAGTGTCCCCTCAGGACTGAACCGTTGCGTCATACCACTAGGTGGCCCCTCAATACCCGTTAAGGTGACAGTTGAGGGTGTGGATAATTGAGAATGGATAGTGGAAGGAGGAAACGATGGCTACCAGTTATGGCCCTGAGGTCAAGTGCAGTGAGGGGGAGGGGAGCCGTAGTTCCTACCGAGAACCTCCCTCTTCGAAGTTTCCCTTTAGAAAGAGTGGCTCTCGGCATCCACAGAGAAGCTGTGTGGCATGAGGGGTGGGATGTGGCAGCCGTGAAAATGCAAAGACTGTGACTGCTGAGGGCAGCCGCCTGGAGTCTCTCTAGGATTGACAGGAGGCAATAACTGAGCGCAGGAGAGACTTTTTGGAGACACAGGGCTTCTCTGATGGGCAACTTTGGATCAAGGACTCCCCTTGGCTTTGTAGAAACTTTCTTACCATTTCACTGCAGTCTAAGACTCCTCCTATCCCACCTCCCTTCCTTCCTTCCTTCCTTCCTTCCTTCCTTCCTTCCTTCCTTCCTTCCTTCTCTCTTTCTTTGTTACAAATGTTAGATCTATTGCAGTCTGATGGTTTCCCCAGCCTCCTCTGGCTCCTTCCCTATTTTTCCTCCCAAGCATTCTACCCAAGAATTGCTTGTGCATCTGACCCCATCTTAGCCTGCTTCTCAGATGACCGAACCAACACAACATATGTGAAGAGGAACTGAAGCAGATGTTTGTAATGCCAGTTCTTTTCCCTTAACACCTAGGGATAATCTACTTTTGCCAGCTCAAAGTTTAGTATCCACAGCAATAGTTGCCTTTCCAGAGAAGGTCTCCATGGGTGTAATTTAGATAACAGAACACAAAGATAAAACTTGGCTATGATTTCCATAGCAACACAGAAGAAACATCAGAAAACCGAGATCTCCACTTAGATTTCCTCTGGCCAGAGCCCACAACCCTCTTTAGTACTGAATGTCCTCATGCTCCTGTGCGGACAGTAGCAGCCTCCTGCACAAAGAAGATGTGAGGCCAGGAACCCATGACTTCTGGTCATTATGCACCTTCCCTTTGGCTCCGTTTTATATTCACTGATGTGTCAGAGTTTCTGCTACTGTTGGGGGGGATGGGGAAGAAATCACAATAGAATCCCTGTCCTCTAGAACCTACACATCATAACGTTTCAAACTGTATGAGTTTGGGGAACTCCGAAAGTGCTCTGTTAGGACATTATTTCAGCCATATTGATAGTCTCCACGCTGGGGGAAAATGATGGTGTTTGGGGATTTCCCCAGTGTATTCTATGTTCTCTGATGCTCCTTACTGCTCATGTCCCCAGTCAT